TATTTTGATTAAAAGAAAATATGTAAAAGTGGGCAACGCTGTGCCGGTAAAGCTTAATCACGTGACTAAAAGTTTATTTGATATCTTTAAATAAGAAGACTAAGGAAGGAGCATATCAAAAATCTTAGGTACACCGCGATGGGCCTCAAATATGGCCGACTTAAATTTCGGTTTATCAGTGTCGTTCTAATTTTATTTAAAAAATGTAAAACTATGATGTAGGGTAGACGTGGGGTAGACTCAATAATTTGTTGTTTTATTTTACGTTGTGAATAAATGTTGGTAGTTATTAAAATTGTTATAAAAATATATAATTCTAATAAAAATAGATAAGTTATAATAAGTATTTATTAACACAAACATCCGATACGCTAATGAAGCAGGTAAGTCAAATTAACGTATCTAAATTCTTTGACATCTAACCTTTGACAAGTAATAAATAAAAGCTAAAATGCAAGAAAAATATATAATTTAGTTAATTTAAGTGAATTTCATAAATGATCGGTTTACTACACATATGTATATTATATAATCACTTACTAGCAAAAAGTGTTCCATTATTTCACTCAATTTTTGCCGAGATTTACCGCACGCTACACAACCAACTATTTTAGAGTCTTTTTCGATAAATCGCGATAGTGTCACTGTTAATTTAAGTTCTGCCACAATTTCCATCTAGATTTACTACCTTTATACAACTATCAGTAGTAGAATAAATAATAAATAACATAAAATAAGCTCCGTAAAGACTGACAAATCCACAAAATTTCAAATCAAATTCAAATGTGTCAAATGAATCGTCAAACAGAACTGCCAAGGATCCCCACCCTAGAGTGCTTTTTCCGCCCACCATGCATGAATACATGGATAGCATTATGCTCCTTCCTTAGTCTTCTTATTCAAAGTTTGATATGAACTATATGCGATATTTCTAGTGATTTTCCGCAATAATCTTGGCAAAAACTGAGTATAGAGTATAGTTAAAAAAACGCCGGTTTTCTGCTATGTGGGTGCAATATTTTACTTTTCTATTTTTGGAAAGATCTTAAGATATTTGTCGCTCAAAGTTGTATGAATAAAGGTTTATATGGCAAAGTTGAACAGTCATCATTTTCACAAATAACTAAAAAAATGTAGAAATTGAAATAAAGTTCTACATAGGTAGTTTACAGGACTATACATATATCTTTTTACGTTAAATTAATATAAATTTTGAACATGTTTTAGTTGAATTAATAAAAAAAAATTTGAGAAAAATTGCTTTTTATTTTTATTTAATTTATTAATTAAATATGCAAACTACATGCATATTGTGTACAATCTATTAATCATCTGCTGATGATGCTAACATGGTTAGCGAAACGCGCGTCCAATTCAAAAGTAAAGTGTTTTGGTGAATTAGTGTTTTATTCTGCTGTTCTAGCACCAATTATTGTTCATATCATGTGTTGCCATACGCTAAATAAAAATAAGCATCAAAGGTTCCAACTCTCAACTGTAATTTACCATTTTTTGCTAAATATTAAAATTTATAAAAAATATTTTCAGTAATATTAAACGTTCTCAAACTGGTAACGCATTTTGGCCCCATAAGTGGAGCATTGGAGCAAGTGGCTCCTCTGTTATCCTCACTTCCCTCAAAACCTGATAAACCTCCTTAAATAGCATCTTTTTAATTATATATCACGCGAGTTACCATTATATCCCAAAAATATCACTCTCGATCAACTCTCAAGTAAACGCTTTTGTACTATGTAGTAGGCTTTGATTGTTTTCTAATCCATCATGGCTGATCATGGATAGAAATTTGACATCTTGTTACCGTTTATGTTGTTACCTGGTAAAGTTTTGTTTTAAGAATTCGTTAAAATAGACTAAAAGAATGAAAAAAACCGTGATATAATAAAACTCAAATAGGAAAACGATAGAAACAGTGTTAACACATCGGAAATGTATTAATATATGTACCGCGAAAAAGGATTTTTTTAATTTGCCGGACAAAAATCGCGAATTTGCAGATCCAAGTCAAGAATATGGAGGGAGGATGATGAAATTAAAGAAAACTTAGATGATGAGGTAAACATTAACATTAAATATCTACTAAAGAATTATTAAAACCTAACATTTTTGTATGATAATGACAGCTTTTTATTACAGTACATGATTGATTATTTTAATTAAAACGGACGTTTTACTTTAAGAAATGAAAATAACTATTTAAAACTGGTTTATAAAAAAGATTTTTATTTTTGTATATACCATAAGATAAAGCCCAAAAAAATTGTGAATATCTTTTAAATGTATTTGTGGATATTTTATTATTGTTAAACTCAAAAAATTGGACTATTTAATAGGTCGTAGGGTAGAGGCACCGGTTGTGGCCAGGTTAAGGGATTTTTAGAGTTTGACTTATCAGAAAAACCATTTGTAGTTAATTTTGGAGATAAAGCAAAATTTTTGGTGCTTCTCCAAACATTTTTCTTTCAAAATCTGCTTTTATTGTAAAGATTTGTATTCTTGATAAACAGAAAATAAGCATTTTATGAAAACATACGATTTTTCCCATTTGTGGCCACCTTGTGCCAAATGTGGCCACATTTACTACCATTTGTGGCCACATTCTTGCAAAAATGTTCTCTATATTGAATTTTGCAGATAACAAAGCAAATATTATTATTTTATTTATTAATTTCTTTCAAAAAAAGACCTAAAATAACATTTGGCACAAACAAAAAATAATATGAACGTTTATTCCTATAATTCTTAAAACAAATCAAGTGATACCTAATACCTTATTTTGCTTTTTGTCTGTTATACAAATGTTAAATAAAAATTAGGTACATATTACTACTACTGTGAGGAACAATAAGCAAAGTACACTAATTTATCAGAATATTCTTGAATATTTGTTAGTTCAGGTACCACATATATGCCTCTCGAATTGACTTTTTAGATTCATCAATTTTCATTGTTATATCACTCAGTTTGTACTAAAGCAAGTAATTTTTACTTCCAATTGCCGCAGATTTGAACCATTATAGCTATAATATTCATTATTTTCAATTTGTAATATTTTTCCTGGATTCAACTAATTTCTGTACTTTAAAATAATAAAATTTCCTATATTTAATTCACCAGATGTCACAGAAGTTTAAGCTGGTGTTGGTTTCTCTTTTTCATTTCTACTGGAAAGATCATTATTTTCTTTAAATTTTATTTTAATTGTTTTCTTTTTTGTAAAGTTTTCATTGTCAGTTTTTGTTTTTTGCTCCTTTCCTTTCATTAATTCAATCCACTTATCATAGGTAATGACTAATGGTAGATGTAGCCTCTTTCTTTTTAAAGATTAACATCTTCCCGGGCATTATCCTATGTCTACTAGTCTTCTTTTCCTGCATGGTTTGGTCTAGTGGTCCTGAATTATCTTTCTTTGAATTCCCATAATTTTTATTTTCATCGCATTCGTTCATGTTTATTCCATTTAGTTCTGTATCTATATTATTTTCTATATTGCTTTTCTCATCTGAATTAAAACTTGATGACGATATATGTTCAGATTGGTAATCTTGGCCGATAATTGTATTTGGGATATTATTATACTTAGGTACTATTATTCAGCTTTTATTAAAAGCTGAATAATAACAAATAAAATGTTCATATTATGTTGTCCGTCGTTTGCACTTATATTATAAAACTAAATAATATGTGGCCACAACTAGATTTCGATTGCACCATTTTTGGCCATAACCTGGCCACAAGTAGAACATAATTAAAATTTAATTACACCTTTTGTGGCCACAGAAAGAATTCCTAAATATTAATTATTTGAATATAATAAATTTAAAAAATAGTTGCCAGATGTATAATATTTATTAAAATCATGGAAAATTAAACCTCAATACAGATTATTGTTAATAATTTGAGTTCTACTTAACAAGCTATCCTTAAGAAATGGGTTAAGAAAACAGTATCTAGTAAATATGTGCTACTACTTTTTGATCTAACGGCCGACTTTTACACCAAATTTGAATATTTTCTATCGAATATGGTGCTGAATATATCTATTTAGAAAATTATAGATGCACGGTTTGATGACGTAAAAAAGTTTAAATTTTAAGATTTTTTAAAGAAGTGGCTACAACAGGGTCAATGGCCACAAATGGTGCGTCTACCCTAATTCGTTTTCGTCTAAGGGCCATCCGAAGTCAGTAGGAGAAATAACCATAAAATAATTAACCAGGAAATAACTGTTTTGTTAATAAATGAATTTTTTCCATAGCAACTGTTAAAATTGCCTTATATCTATCAAAAATAGTAGATAAAATAGTACTTTAACCGCAAGGGTAGAAAACATGATACTTTAACAGCGAGGATAGGTTAAAAACTTTATTCGACACGAAAGAGAATTAAAAAATATTGGCTCAAAACTGATAACTAAAGAGACAGCTTTATATATTTATTTTTCAAATTACATAGAAACCAACGCCAACCCAATACAATATTTTTTCTACTCGTAATAAATTGCTTGAAATAATAATTTCTGAATATTTTTTAAAACGTAACTCGCTATGGAAAAAAATATTGTTTTATACACGACGATAAAATTGCATTATCGTCTCCCGAAATTTATTCACCCGCGATTTAATCGCTCGTGAATTAATCTTTTCGGCCGACGATAAAATACCATTTTATCGTCATGTATAAAAAATAACTATTAATAACACATAAAATATATAAAAAAATAAGTCATAAAAAGCCCCCACCCAAAAAAAAACACCCCGAATTTCACATCTCGACCTTGCTGCCGTCAGTTCTTATTTCGCGATAAAATATAAAAAATTGTGGAAAGTATCATATACGATTTCAAGTTGAACTTTTTAACTTTCAATAACTGTCAAACGAATCGATTAAATGAAAATCCATATCAGACCTTTGTAGATTTGTTAGAAAGCAATAATATTGCAAAGAAAAAAAATGTCTCCCCGTGTTATTTAAATGGGAAATAGAAAATCATGATGAGGCACCTCTTAATATCAATATTAAAAGCTCAAACTACCAGAATTTTTTTCACACTAACATCACTAATATTACAAAAACATTTATTACTTAAAAACAAATTTCTTATAAATATATCTACATTTTAAAACATAATTAAATAACGTAGCAGAGAAATTATATTTAATTTTTTTTTTAATATTTAATTGACTTACAAAAAAAATATATCTAACATATATAAAAAATTTGTGATATTTCTAGTGATTTTCCGAAATAATCTTGGCCAAAACTGGATAATCTTCACCTCTGGCAACGTGTACTTCGAGTATAGCGTTTAAAGAAACACAGGCTTCGTGAATCTTTCTTAAAAACTAAAAAATATATATTTTTTAATGTTTTATAGGTATAGTTTCATTAGGATAAAAACTGGGTGTTCCATATTCGCCTCTCACAATTGAAGGGTCCAGAGGAAAAACTTGATAAGCGGCAATTTCTAAATTTCAGAATCTTACAATATTATAGTAGGTCTGACTGCTACCTACAAAATGTATAAACTCTCCAGGGCAATAAGTTGTTAAATCCTATGATATATGCCTAATAAATATATAGAATACATGACAAGAACCTGATAACTACCAGACGTCCAGTGCTCTCCTGTAAAATCAGTGAAATGGCGCGTGAATCATGTTTTTCCTCTGGACCTTCAATTGGAATCTCACAAAATACCCCAAAAATATAAAGCCCCCCAAAAAAAAAGAACTTTTTGGGCTTTATCTTGGTTTAAACCTAACCAAACCAAACTATTCTTACCCCTAAAATTTTGTCTTTGGCCGCTTTGTCATCTTTATAAACTAATTCCTTCAAATTTTCAATTTCATTTGCAGGTACACCCACAAAACTTTCAACCACATCACTGTGAACTCTCACGATCATATCACCAGTGCTGTCTTCCACTTTTATCACCAAATTATAAGTATTTCCTTTTGTCACCATTTTCTCAACAACTTTCTTAAATTTTGCCTTTATTTTAAACTTGCCTTTGCCAATATTTGGAACCATTCGGTTTAATTTCTCTATAGGCAAAATATTGATTTTTGGAGAGGTTTTCGACATATTACTTTCAGTTTCCGTTAAAACTGGTCTAACAGGAGAATATTTATCAGTATTAGTTGAGCTTGTATCAAGTAAAGTAGATTTTTCAAAATTAAGTGTAGTTTGTGCCACTGTCTTGGAAGTTTTTTGAAGGTTCTTCACACTCATATTCGATGATTTTATATTGGAAGATTCTAAAGAACGAGATTTTTTCTTCAAAACGGGTGAAGTAATTTGTATTTGAGTACTGCTAGGTAAATGTGCCATTTCTAGATCAATATTATCCAAATGTGAGTCTATATCAATATCATCAAAACTATCATGTATAGTTATAACATTTTCTGATTCTTTATTACCATCACTCACTTTTAAACTTGTACCAGAATTATTTACATCTTTTCTCACTTTGTTTAAGTTTGTACCTTCCAGAACATCACTTTCGAAATCTATATTATCCAAATGATCATTTAGTAAATCTTCATCAATGTTTGCTTCATCAAAAAGATCAGGGGATTTACAGTGAACATTCCTTTCTTCTGAAATAGGTGGATTTCTAGAGCTATCAGTAACACGCCTGTTTTTTTGTGCACTTGAGTGCTGCAGAGGTATTTCATTGAGATTACCACATTCTAATTCTTGCAAAAGTTCATCATCTACTTCAAAGTCAGGTGGAATTTGTGGATGAACAACTGCTACTGGCTTATTGCTACTATTAGTATTACGATTGTTTCTTACATTTTTTCTAATTTGATTTTGTGGATTTAAATCCTGTGTTGTTGAAATATTTCTTAACTGAGTATTTTCTGTACCTAAAAATACATCATGTAATTAAAGATTGTACACATGGATACCCATACGTTCAACTGCTTCTAAAATATTTTCATTTATTATGTACGGATCTGGATTTTCTTCTAATCCAAGGGCTCTGGCAAGAACATTTTCTGCTGCATATTTTACTCTATCTTCTTCAACATGACCACCAAGAACCTGAGAAAATATTTTTTAAATTGGTAAAGTAGATAAATTTGTTACTTTACTTTAACATGTTGGGTTTCCAACATTAATCTCCCATTTCGAACCATTAGTGGACCAACAATCTGGATTTTTACACCTGGTGGTAAATTTAAATTAAGACATGGAATAGGTTTGAATTCCATTGCCTCAACTTGCTGTACACCATCAGTTAAAGTAAGTTGTAGTACCTAGAAATCTTTTATTATTTTATTAGGAATAGAGATCACACAGTTAATAGTACCCTTTTTCCAAAATCATTATCTGCTTCAGTATTTTTAGCTGAACTACTCCGAATTTTTTGAATTTGCCACAATTTTGGTTTGGATATATCAGTAATTTGTATCATCTGCAATGGATATTTTCCTGTAAGGAGAAACTTCTTTTCAAGGGATAAATTTCTAGGAAGTATTGCTATTTCTACCATTCTAAGATCTGTAATAAATAATTGTTAATAAATTTAGAAATTTAAGAAACAGCCTACTTTATGGTACCCAAAAACAACCACTGCTGAAAGACCACCATTTGAAGGTCCTTTATTGTATGATTTGGAGGTAGATTTCCACTTTTGCACCATTCAATACAACTTTCCAACCATTCTGGAGAAAGAGGTATATTATATCCATCAAAGATTTCTTTAACTTTCTGGCATTCAGATGCCATTGTATATTTTGAAAGTACTGTGCATAGATAACAGTGGTACTGTGAAAAGAACTACCTGAAATATAATAAATTTCTGATCACTTCCTAACCTACCTTTTGCTGTTTGACAACAAAAATAAACAAAAAATTTACCCTTTCTATTTTATCTATTAGGCAACTTAATATATACGATATGTTTTTCATTCATGCATGCAACCCAAAATATATTGGAATCCATTCAAATTTTATCATCAAAATAAAATAGTTTTATTGTTTATTAATCTTAATCTAAGGTTTATATAATGTAATTAAATATAGTAACTCTGTGATCTCTGACTAATGTTTTTTAACTCCTCTCGGTAAAAATAAAAAAATACCCTCATATAAATACATTTCTTTATTTAATCGAATAGGTTCATAACCAACAGTGGTACTTAATTACTTACAATTAATTAGTTCAATAAACATATAAATTAGTTAATCTCATAATTAAATATTTACGAAGTATTGTATATTACGTATTAAAAATTGTATAAAAGCATCATAGAGGAAATGTTTCAGGATTATGAAATACTGTTTTTAACATAACGAAGAAATTCTTGAAATAAAATAGGTAAAACGTATGTAGTAGTAAAAATATAACTTATTCAACCATGATTTTCCATTGAGAGGCTAAATGAGCAGCAAAATATAATTTTGAGCCATCATTCAGACACCAATGATATGTCACTCTTTTCTCATTTGAATCCAGATTAACTAGAATTTTGTCATCAGATATTTTCTCTAATGAAAAGCCCACCTAAAAAATTAAATATTTATTTTTTGTTACGTATAATATAAATATCCAACCTTTAAGCCTTTGGCAAATTTTGGCAAGACAGTTGACTTTTCTACACCATCAATAAATATTTTTCCATTACTATCTATTAAAAATATACCATCATTATATTCCTTTAATATACTACAATTTTTATTCCTACTCTGAATCACAGCAATAGCAGCTTCAAATCTCTGGTCTACATCTAGAATCTTGAAACAACAAAAAAATATGAAGTACTTATGTGAAAATAATAATAAATACTCACAGTAAATTCAAGGGAATCACTAAAACTGACTTGTGCTCCATCCGAATAAACTATTTTTCCTAGACTGCTTTCCACCTTTGCAATTTTATTATCATTTGTTAATACAGAATCTTCTGATGCTTCCCAAGAATACCATTTTAAAGTTGTTATACCAACTTGTGGAACAGACCATGGACTCCACACTGTGAATCCATCAAACTTGCAACATATTCTGAAAGAATAAGGTTGGCAAATCTGTATATCTCTGAGCAAGAATTGAGTGTCTAGTCCTAAAAAGATATGGCTATGTATACCTACATCTGATAGAGATTTCTAAATTACCTCTATAGCAATCCAAAAAGTTTACGGTATTTTTCTGTTTCGTCACATCTCCAAAAGCTCTCTGAAGTCTAAATTCCTGAATATCTTTGACTCTATCATCACCAGTATCATATTTCTGTTGCCATTCTATTAACAGAGCTCCAGGTTTTGGAGTCAGTTTTTGAATCTATTTACAATTAAGTAGGTATGTGTGATCAATGAAGAATTTAACATTTATTAAAAGTTACTAACTTGTATTGGTGCAACCCGAAAAACTTCACCAATATTAACACAAACATTTTTTAAATCACTTTCATACATTGGGTCAAACAAAAATGATATATAAGGCACTTCTTTAGCTTCTGGCAGCTCAGGCAATATACCTAAAAGATTGCCTTTATCTAGAAAGTCAGAAACAAAATCTTGAGATGCAATGCCATTTATCGTGCTTCCTTGGTGAATTAAATTTGTTGTGGATTCAATACTTCTTTTGATAATATTTGAGCACTCAACAAGTGGCACTAAACCATCATTTTTTGCCTACAATATTTAAAATACCTGGTGTTTTAATTTTTCTACTTTAAATTAATTTTACCTCTTCAGCTTTCTGTAACAAGTCTTCTTCGCGTTTGGTTAAAATATCGCTTAAAACCTTCCTCAAATTAGAAAATGTCGACTTAATATTATTAGATGTTTCGTCAAAGGTTGTTAGTATCTGTTTTTCAGCTTTCCGAATTTCGTCTTGTAAACCAGTTAAGTTCTTCAAATATTTTGTTGCAGATACTATTGTTTCAGCTATTTCCATCTCCATGTTTATGTATATCAATGATTAAAATTGTGAAGAGGTAATTAACACTGATTTGAAATCAAAAGTTTCAGTATTTTTAAGCGTCAATTAGTGAAGTAAACTGACAGTAAAATACATACTATAGTAGTTATAGTCATGTTATAGTTTATTTTTGCCTGCCATGGATAATAGACGTAATATTCCCTGCATTCCCAGGAAAGTCTATGGAAAAATCAAATTCTAAAAAATCTAAAACAAATCAGAAACAGAGTCAGAAAGTTGAAAATTATTTAGAGGTTATTATAGATATCTTTTAATCTTATGTCAACTGTCAACGTCATTCGCTGACTGTGCTGACTGTAATATTAGTTGCCTACCATATATATCTGAAAATTGCTTGAAAACCTTGAAAATCTACAAAAAGGGTGCTAAAGTTGGCTATAAAGGTGGTAAAAATAAGTACGTCCTGCTCATATTCTCCCTGGGTATTCTCCTGTCTGTGGCCTGTGGCTGCTGTCCGCTGCAATGGCAAGTCCAATGTATTTTGGCGATATAAATTGTGATGTGAAAAAGACAAAGAATCAATACAATTCTTCGCAAATCAGTTGCGCTTGCAACTGTTTTGCAAATTCGGAGGCGTATAGTAATGTGAAGCCGCAAACGAATCGATTCAAACGGGACTAGTTTGCAATCAGTCGCAGATCTGTTGTTCGCGACCATTTCTCGCGGTCGCAGTAGCCTGCTTGCATTTTAAAAGTTGCTTGGGTAAAGTCAGGCGGCAACTGCGAGCGAAACTAAACTAAGTTAAGAATATAGAAAGAAACGGCAACTAAACGAAAATAAGTTTCATCGGCCACTGGGAACGATTTTCGCTTAGTAGTCAGCTAAGTTAGCTGCGTTTTCGTATTGTTGTGTCTGTGAACAATTCGCTGGAACCTGTCACGAACTAAAACGAGCGAAACTAAGCTACGATTTGAATCTTCGTTCACTTATTTTCGTTTAGTTTCGCTCAAGTGGCCGCTCATGCATTTAAAAGTATGGGAGCTGATTTTTGAAAATCTTATCTTCCCTTGGCTTAGTTTAGTTTCGCTCGCAGTGGCCGACCGCCTCCGTTGCTTGTTTTTGCTACGCAAGTAATTAGCAGAACGATAGCCATTTGGTTACAGACGCATATGACTTTGGGTGTAGGTATTTTCTGCTGAAGTATATTATTTCGTATATTTTTCATTTTATTCATTTTATGGAAAGCACTGTTTATTAAAATGTTGTATCCTATGTTATAGGGCTTGTTTCTCTCTACAATTTCCTGTCTCACAATGTACCGTTTGTGTCGGGGAAGGGATCATAGTTTCATAGTTGTCTATTTTCGAAAGAAATCAGTATATGTATATTGTTTCGTATATTTTTGATTTTATGGAAAGCACTGTTCATTAAAATGTTGTATCCTATGTTATAGGGCTTGTTTCTCTCTATAATTTCCTGTTTCACAATGTACCGTTTGTGTCCGGAATTTTTGAGCTGGGAATGGTAGACATGCTCTAAATGAGCTTGGCCGTGCCTCATTTCTAAATGTCGTACCAATTGCTGTGTGCTTGTTTCTCTCTACAATTTCCTGTCTCACAATGTACCGTTTGTGTCGAGTAGATCATAGTTTCATAGTTGTAGATTTTCGAAAGAAATCAGTACATGTATACTTTTTGCATTTTATTGATTTTATGGAAAGCACTGTTTATTAAAATATTGGATTGACGTTTTCAATTCTTTTCGGTCACTTCTTGTTTCACAGGAAATTACTACAACTTTTGATTTTTAAATGGCACCCTCCGTATTTTTTTACTTTATTCGATAGAAAATGACTTTCTGAATCGAATGACATATCCTATGTCAAATTTTGACATATTCACTCAAAAACAAATTGCATTTTAAATTTCAATCTAGAGTGCCATGTGCTGTGTTAAAAACACTAATTTTTAATCAAGGAGCCTTGGAAAAATAAATTTGATCCTCTAATGTTTTTCTGTCTTGTCCTGGCCGGGTAAAAGATGACAATATCGTATTTTTAATCATATCTCAATGTTTTTAAATGGAACGAGGGTGGCTCATTGGCATATTTGGAAAAAGCATATTCTTACGAATAATTTGATACCACATACTTGGTATTTCAACTCAAATTGTCGTTATGGACCGCATGTTATAATTTCAAATAAACCATATGCGAAAATGTCAAAAGTTGACATATGATATGTCATTCTATTCAGAGTGTCTATTTTCTATCGAATAAAGTAAAAAAATATCGATGGTGCCATTTAAAATCAAAAATTGTAGTCATTTCCGGTGAAACCGGAAGTCACCGAAAACAATTATTGGGAATATGTCAACCAATACTAATTTATGTCATATACTAACATACCAAATCTCGCTTTTTATCTGAAAAAATAAAAAAAGTTATAGTGGTGAGCCACTTTCGAGACGCACCCGGTATAGTATCATACCATCGAATAAAAAAAACGGCGTCAAAGATGGCTTGGAAATGAAGATCACGTCATTTTGTATGTAAAATTGTATGGGGAATATAAACCTTTCGTGATTTTCATCAAGCAAACTAGACGCCGTTTTTTTTTTCGAACATAAGGTTTTTTTCAACAGTAGTGCTTTAATTGCCTTTGATCCCATCGACTTTTAAGTGCTTTAGCAACTCATTCACCCGGCTTGATTCATTCATCAAAAACCAAACTGGCGCGGCCGAATCAAATTAATTCACCAACTTGAAGCGCTCCAGATCCGGTAATACCGGCTTTTTTTCGATAGCCCGAATTGACAAGAGGTTTTTTCGTCGAAAAAAAGCCGAATTACTCGTGTACGGTCCTCAAGACAGATACAGAAAGAGCTTTTTTTAGTCCGCAACAGACGTACGTACTTAAATCGAGCGAGATGCAATTAATGAATGTAAACGGACTTTACTCACGGCGCGACGCGTTCGCCCAGCAGTCTAGTTGGCCGGTATCCCCTACTTTTGGTTTGCTATGTTGCCATGTCGAGATTAAAATTCATGTAAAAGGGGAATTTATAAAAACGAATATAGAGTACGTCTACTGGATCTGTGTCTATGAAATTATGAAAGGAATTTCAAGAATGCGAACACAATATTGGAGAATGATCAAAAAAATGGTTCACCCCTATAACCTTTTTATTTTATTCTTTTTTTGATTACAAAACGAGATTTGGTATGTTAGTATGACATCAATTAGGATTGATTCGCGTATTTAATTCTTTTCGCTCACTTCCTGTTTTACCGGAAATGACTGCAACTTTTGATTTTTAAACGGCACTCTCGGTATTTTGTTACTCTATTCGATAGAAAATGACACTGAATAGACGAATTACATATCATATTTCAACTTTTGACATTTTCAAATATGGTTTATTTGAAATTGCAACATGGCGGTTTATAACGACAATTTGATTCAAAATAAGTGTGTGTTACCAAATTATTCGTAAAAAAATGGCTTTTCCAAATATGCTAATGAGCAACCCTCGTTCCATTTGAAAAATTGAGATATGATTAAAAATATGATTTGGGCATCTTTTAACCGACCAGGACAAGACACTAAAAACATTAGACGATCAAACCTATTTTTCCAAGGCTCCTTGATTAAAAATTGGTGTTTTTAACACAGCCATGGCACTCTAGATTACAATTTAAAATACAATTTTGTTTTAAGCGAAAATGTCAAAAATTGACATATGATATGTCACTCTATTCAGAGGGATTTTCTACCAAATAGAATAAAAAAATTCCTAGGGTGCCATTTAAAAATCAAAAGTTGTAGTCATTTCCGGTGAAACAGGAAGTGGCCGAAAATAATTGAATTCGTCAATCAATCCTAATTTATGTCATGTACTAATACATATTGTATTTTTATCTGAAAAAATAAGTCAAAATAACTTGGACTTTTAAAAACCAATCAAAATTCTCTATATCTTTCAATAAACATAAAATTTTTACAGTGTTTCTTATATTACAAAAATAAACAGCTCCTCGTAGCTCCTAGAATAAAAACTTGGAAACTTTATTTAAGTGTAAAACTAAAGTATTATGAGGATGTGTTTCAGGAATATACGAGGCATGTTTTTTAAGTAAGTACCGTTTTGGAATTAAAAAAAAACGTGCAAAGATATCGCAATAATTTTATTTTTACATGAAAGCCTGTACCTTAATCTACTTTTCTACATAATTTCCGTGAATATTGAGGCACTTGTCATAACGTGGCACCAGTTTTTCAAGACCCTCCTCATAAAATTCTGCCGCCTGACTGGTTAACCACTGTATCACAACTATTTTGACTTCGTTATCGTCTTGAAGACGCTGACCGCCCAGGTGTTTCTTCAAGTGCAGGAATATGGTAGTCACTGGGCGCCAGATCAGGGCTGTATGGAGGATGATCTAAAGTTTCCCATTTAAAAGATTTGATGAGATCTTTGGTCCGATTAGCCACATGTAAACGGGCATTGTCATGCAGCAAAACAATACCCTTACTCAACTTGCCACGTCTTTTGTTTCGGATTGCACGGCGCAGATTGTTCAATGTCTCACAATAAGATGCTGCATTGATTGTCTCATTACGAGGCAGAAACTCGACTAGCAATACTCAATAAACAACGTATACAATGAAGAATCAGACTGTACTGGCGTCTGTGCATAGACAAGAGATAGTAGGTAACCAGCGCGCATGCGCGGAACGCCGACCGTAGCGCTGCGGCGGCGGAATCGCAAAACGGTACTTACTTAAAAAACATGCCTCGTATTTTAACTTCTATAGAGTGACTCAAAAAAGTGTGAGTGGATCGGGATTATATTTTTTAATGGAACACCCTGTATGTTACTGCATTTTTACCCTCCTTTCAGATAGATCCCTTTACATAATCCTAAGATATGAGTAAATATTTTTCAATAGTTTCAGAGATATTAATAAATAAATAAAAAATACTAGTATCTATTTTTCAGCTTTTCTTAAAAAAATATATTAAAAATACAAGAACTGTCCTGAAATCAAAACTATATTAGGTATTTACTTTAGATGGTTTAAACTTACTTTGGTATAAATATAGGATTCATAAATCATACAGAATGTTCAAAATTCTATGCCAAATTTTCTAAAATATAAAATAATTTTTCTTTGTTTTAATTGGTATATTATTTTTTTATTAGATCGAGAATTAAAAAATTAAAATTTTTGTATTTAAAGTATTTTAAAATTTTTAATGGTTTTGCAGATACACGCAGTATTATTTTATATAGCTCTTTCAACTGTAAAATACGAGAGAAAA